AACCATTGTGGGTGATGGCGAAGATCTCGTCCACAGTCAAAACACGCTGCTGACAGAATTTGCTAACGTTGTGTAACCCTTTGGCGACAAAGTTGTTTTTTAGAAATCTGATGATAATTTCGCGGTCAACAGAGGATTTGGGGAAATCGGAACACTATTCTTCAACAGAAGAGGATCTGCTCTATTGCACTAGCCACATAAACAATATTTATAAGGTGTCGTTTCAGAGTTACATGCACCAAGCACTAGAACTTTCAAAACATTGGTAACCAAATCAAAGTTCTTAAAATTTCCAGTGGGTGGTATGTTGGTTTTTCGATAAAGGCGCAGATGTACCATCTGCGGAGATCAACGATGAACACCAAAAAACATCACTAGCATTGGTATGACCATAATTTAGACTAATACTATATTAGGTATCAATGGAACGCATAAAACAGTCCTTCAGTGAAGGCCACAAAAGCGGCTTTGTCGAAAAATTGAGTGTTGTGGAACTTTTTGCAACTGATATCACATCTTGTTGCGGTCAACAAACTCAGAAAACCTGCGAATAGAAAGGGCATCGATACGCACTGGATTTGCCATGGTGCTAAATGTCGAAATGGTGGTCGGCAGGTTCATCGCGATGTCTTTGTAGTGACGAATTAGAATATAGAGTTAAGTTCTGTACTCAAAATCATGAGTGTTTGGTGGCGTGAGGACGACTGAAAGGTCAAAAAATACCTAAACTGCTCCTTGATTTGATTTCTTGTTGTTTGGAGACTTCAAACTACCATTAGAGCTTAGGTTTATAACAATTAGAAGCGAATTATAATGAACTGCATATGTGAAGATGTCGAGAACAAAATTGTGGCACCATTTGAAGTAGTGTAATAGGATGACGGAACGAAAACATGTACTAAAATAGAAAACTGAAATAGCCTATGTTATGTTCTGCATGTTGAATGCTTCTATATTTCAACACACGGAGTCGTTGAGCTGGAATATTTTCATCGTAATTGGTCATGTGATAGTTCTGTAAGGATGTTCGCATGTCTTTGCCACAGGCTGCCGCAACCTTTCTGCTCGGAAGGAGTCCTTCCCAAGAAGACCTCATAAAGGTTTGCTGACCCCGGAAGGGTGGACGGCTTGGTTGGTTTAGCTAAGAGGCCGAAAGAGCTGTAATACTTTTTGCTATTGTACACTATCCCAAAACATTGATCTTTCTCCACAAAGTTTATTGTTACCAAGATAAGTCTTAGCGTTAACCTTTTATTTGCGCTTGCGATAATTTTTCGCGGTGGTGTATGGTATGAAATACCACAGCAACAATGCTGAAATATTCGCAAAACATGGACGACAGCCCAGATCGAACCACGATTTTCATTTACGGGTGCTCGCGTATTACACATTGCACCATTGAGGCCTTTGCTTTACGTCTTTCTCAGCTTGTTTTCTACCTAACGCTGCCATCACCAATCACTCGTCAGTGGGATTGATCTGGACAGCACAAATCGACAGTGAACCCAGTAACACATGAACGCCCGGAAAGGGTCGATCGGTTACTGATGCTTTCACGTTAGACATAAAGGCAATGGCGAGGCTTGGTGCCAGTCATTGTTCCATTACCAACGCTCTCATTTCAGCGTAATATTTTCGGGACCATCTGAATATTGAGCAGTTTCGGCACTCCTTTAAGAGAGACACGAAATACCAAATGGTGAAACCATACATGTTTATTACTCCTTCATGTTTCACAAGAACAGCGTGGATTGCTTGCGTAACGGAGTCATTCTACAGGTTTGTATAAAGCGCGCTAACGCCAAAGGACTCCATCACATATGTGTGGTTAGGAGACGCATTACGGAAACGATCATCTGAGTGTTCGTAAGATGGACTGGAATGTGTTTAACAACTGGGTAAGTACTAGGGTTAAAAACCGTGTTATTCTATCCGTTGGCCTGTCTACACAGCTACTGATAGGTCTAGTCACGAAGAAAGATCGGTAGTCGCAAGATCATCACTAGATGCAAATTTACGAGTTTTGTTAAGTAATTATAGTACGAGACATGTTGGTAATGTTCCAAAGCAGCAGCTTTTGCCACTTCGACTTATTCGTTCCTCAATTTTCGGGATTACTTTTCAGAAGATGGGCGATGAAGGGAGGCATCTCCAAAATTCATTTTCGTTATCTCAACCCCTAAATAATAAGGTATTGCTGGAAACTGATATGAATGATAAGTAGATGAATCGATGTGGCAATAGTGAACCTTACTTATGGAGAGCGCGAGTATTTGAAAGTTCCTAGATTAACAATGCACAGCGGTTATATCAGAATTGACGACAACGATAACCTAATAGATCGATGATGCAGGAGTAAGACTTAACATTATTCTAGTCGATGCAGATCGAACGAGGAATGAGCGTTTATCATCAAGTGGGATCATAGCGTGATGTAGAAGGATGCTGGCGCTTTATGTGTCTTCAGAAGGCAAAGAGGCACTGCTATGGAGCCTGATTAATTGTTAGCTAATGTTTGTACGGAGGCTTTTGCATACAAAGAAAAACACAAATCCTTTCAACCATTGGGTTTTTAAGTGTGCACATGCAAGGATACAAAGACATGATTTTACAGTAAACTAATTTGATCGTGAAACGGCATGTGCACATAATTGCTTGCAGCTGCCAGCTGCTCATCCAGTGAGCAAACTTTCGGACCAAGACGAACAGTTCTTACAAATACATTAGAGAACCCACTTTACAACCAGCTGCGAAACAAGTACACGAAATGAAGTGCTATGGAGAAGTTTATGTGGATTTAAACGAAAAGTGGCAGACGACATTCATTATTTTGTGGAAAACATTGTATTTAATGCGTACCTTGACCTGTGGTTAGCTGTTAACGTATCAAGTCACTGCTACTATTTTTCTATACAAGTCTGGCTCAATTTGTCGACAACGGAAAGATGGTGTGCTTGTTGCATCGGCGTATTGGGATCGAACCAAAGACCAAGTATCTGTTGCAGGGCGGCTCTAGTCACTGCGCTATATGCACCTCTCTTCTTGAAAACAATATAGTAACTTGGAGTGAAAAGGTGAAAATTCATTTGTTCACTTTGACAAGATGAGTCATACTTTAACATGTTCGCGACGAAACTATTGTTAATTTCAACAGCTGTTAAATTTGCTCAGTTAGAACACTTGAGAACTTGTGAACACGATTAACTCATATGTGGAAGCAACTTCTCCTGATCTCTACCTCTTTCTCTCTCTCTCTATGCTCAACTGCATCACTCCTTGAGCTACGAGTTTTGACAGAAAAATTTAGGATATAAGAAAAAATTCCTGATCTCCCGAAACCTTTGAAGTAAATTTTCGTTTCAAGTGACGCACGTATGTACCGTATGTTCACGAATTAATTAAGGGAGCAATCAGGACACCTACTTAAGCCCACTGTTTTCTCACCCTGGAATAATCTGGTCGTGCCTTTTCCACTTCAAATTTTCATTGTCTGCTTACAGTTTGTTTACCGTGAGAAAGAGTGTGCAAGTGAAGAAAAAAGCTGGCTTTTGGATTCACTAAAATAGCATTTTCCACAAAGCTGAAAGTGCAAACTTTTCAGAGCGGTTTTGATTATATGGGAAGGGATAATTCAATGGGAAATCGTGAAATCCACTTTTATAGCACCCGTGTGCTGCGGTCAGAAGCACTTCCGAGGGATTGACCCGCCTGAGTACACAGGTCCCCATGGTACCGACCCATCTGAGTGCAAATCCCATGGGAACGATCCGTCTGAACTGAACGCCTAGGATCGCGGGCGAGGCGGTGGCAGACAGTGCGCGCGGTGGCCTCGAGACATTGATTGCCGAGGCGCCGCGACTCGAGGGACAACCCCATACTCATTCGCGCACTCATCGCTCTCTGCAGGCGGTGCCATAGTTTCGCGTTGTCGTCCATTCATCGACTTCTTTTCATAAATCCTTTCTTCTCAATGTTATGAAGAGCTTTTCATTACGTGACTACTAAGGAAATCTTCAAAAGTAAGCAAATGCAAGCTGTATCAAGCACATATTTTAGTCAAGTTTAGCCTATTATTAATTTTCGGTCTGTACAGTACGTTCTATTATTTGAAGAGTGATATCAACTATTAGGGTCGGGCATAGCACAGTGTTTGCGACGGCGGTCATCACCAGCACGGTGCCGGTTCCAGCCCGCTACGAGCCCACCAAGCGTTTCATTCCTCTGAGGTCGAGAAATTGGTTTCGGACATGTCGAGGAAAAGTCACTCTCTGCGATCCAACTGGGAACGCTCCAGCCTGGCTTTCTCAGGGCTCCAGGGAAAATCGGCTCGACTGGCATTCTACGACATTTAGGACGAAAGGGAAATCCTCAAGCAGCATCCGAAACAACTCGTAAAAGTTGGAAGAGCTTCGTGGATGATTGATGCGAGCAATCGAGACCAATGTCAGATGTGCTAATATTCGCATAGTAGACGTGAAGACGGCTTGTATAAAAGAAAATACGAACTATTTGGTAAACTCTAATCTCTGTGTGAAGCGTGCTAACTCACAGTGGAAAATAGCCTAAGTGAAGTAGAGGTGTTGCCCGGGTTTGTGGTCTCACATACCGATTAACTTAATTTTCCGTTATCTTTAGCTCCTGTCTTTAATTCCTGACATCCTGTATAAACCGATAATAGGTTGTTTCATGATGTTTGTTCCGTTTTAGCTGCTATTTCGAATTTCCATGTATCGGCTTGTTCAAATCTTGAAGTGTCATGTTAACAGGCGCTTTACTCTTTATATTACATCCATATCGAATTGATGGTTTAAACAAAAAACTAAAGCGTTTTCTATCTACTAAATCAAAATTTCAAAATTTGATACTGTTCGTATTTTATAGCGCATTCTCGAAGAGGAAGTGAAATGTTCGAATCCTGGAACTGCATGGACTGCTAGATATGGTCGGTATCATCGTTTTCAGTGATGGAGGATGTCGAAAGAACAAATATTTGCACATATATGTACTCTGTCGCATGCTCTATTTCTTCTGAATTATTCATGATATTTGGATACATTAACAATGCTTGGCTTATTGTATACAGACCCGATTCAAGCGAACAGTTCCAGGTAAGTCCTTTTTTAGGATGAAAATGAATGTAAATGTGTATAGTAGAATGAAAAACTTGTAAACAAGTTTCTGTTGTGCTACTGTTAAAACGGAACCCGATCTACTGCTGTTTTTACCTTTTTAAAAGGTAGAAAACAAGGCAAATCATTATGATGAATAAAAAGTCCGCCATGAGAACATCTCTCAACGTTTTTGAAGTTCGTTCTATGTAGCTGTGTATTTGTCCAGCGGCGGCTTTCTTCTGGAAAAACGAGTTTCCATGGAAGAGATGTGCTGCGGACAGGAGTCCTACAAAACAGTCTCCATTCTCATGTCGTTCTCCTATTCCGAATCTCCCTATGCTGTATTTATTTTAGTTGGTCGTTCCCATGCTTGAGTTGATATCTCCGGATATCTCACTGCGATTACTACCTTCAAATGGTTCTAAAACGCGTTCAGTTTGTTCTCATCATCTATGTAAGTTGGTGAGTAGCAGTTAATGATACTGACGTTCTTTTGACGCCCAAGTTGGAGACGAAGAATAGTTAAGCGCGGTGATTGGATTTCGTGTGAAGTGAGTAGATGAGAGCTAGATGGGTGTACGGCGAAGTCAATGCATCCAACATTTCATAACGGAAATTCTTTTCCACGAATGACAACGGTCTCGTGATCTAATTGGCATTGTCGGTCTTCCAGATTTTCGTCTCTTGTAAGGCGATCGCACGGAATTTGATTCGACCAGAGGCCTCAAGAAAGGCGTAGTGGTTGGCGCCTAAAGAGACTGTTCTGGCGTAATGGATACACAACAAGAAACAATCTCCACGGCGTGTGGCTGGTGTGCTCGTTCTATTTGTTTCCAGTAACGTTCTGTGCAACCCGAGATTTGATTAAGTGTCACCGGTTAACTCACCGCTCGACGTCGTGGACGGGAGCGCGCAGTGTAGCAGGTATTGAGGTCGGAATTTTGCTACTTTATTCATCATGGTTTTTTGGAGTCCCGAGGTAAGCCTAGCTGAAGCCTTGCTCAGGTAGTCACCACCGTGGTAGTCGTCGCCCATGTGTATCTAAGGGAGATTTGCCACCATGCGACTAGTTTGACTCCAGGACGGTAGGAATTCCTGGTATTACTTTACTCCTATTTTGGGAGGCTTTGCTGGAGGATGACACCGTTGGGAGGTTAGGTTAAATGCGATTCGTAATGTAAGAGTGGTATGTAAGAATGAGTTTCCTATATATCTAGTTAGTTGTTATGGGAAAATACGAGGAGTGCTCTCTGGGTATTTGACAACAAATATCTTAAACACTCACCAGTATTTCGTAAAAGCATGCATATCCTATTAAAAAATATTATCTAATCACAACTTTCAGCGCGGATTGAACGACGACTGCTTCAAAGAAGATGATATTCATTGCTTGCCATGGTCATCGTTGTCAAGCAATTGTAGTGGTTTCCCTAAACCATTCGATACCATATCGTCTCCCAGTGCAGGTCACTTTTTTGGTAGTTCTTCACTTGTTCACCAATGCTTCTTCTTCCATGTATTGTTTGTGCTTTACCATCTTTAATTCTTCCGTTTTCAGTTATGTATTTAGCATTGTACTTTGCTCGTTTCCTACTTATTAGTGGATTTTTATGGATTTTGTTCTGTATGGTTTGCTGCTGCAACCTCAATGCTGAGCGATTTGCAAGAAAACATCGAAGATATTTTATGCAGTTCTGTAGTTTAGTAGGTCGGCTTTATTTCTCTGATTCTTGAAAGTTTATAGTCAAAACAGCAGTAAGTCTATGTTCTGTTCAATCCATGCGTGAAAAATACTGATTATGTGACCATCCACAGAAAAACTGCCGCTTTATTTCCAGAACCAAGCATTCAATAAATAATAATTCAGTGCTCTTCAGTTCTCCTGTAATCTCATTCTGTTATGCAAGCACGTTTATTCACGAAAACAAATTTACCAGTATAATCAACTAAAATCCCGAACTAAGCTCACTGTTAATCGCTCTTTCACTCAGAGTTTTCATTACACCTGCGTGCTATAGCTTATCTAGATTCTTCTTAGTGAAGTAGGAATCATTTCAGCTTTGTGTTTTGTAATTCTATCGATCCTTATTTTGACTGCGTATTACACCGATGCCATCATGAGGCCACCAGCTCCTTTCTACGAAGTGAGTCTCTATTCTGTTTTAAAATTGGAATATTTACAGCGGGGGTGGGTCATATCAGTGTGAGAAGTCCCGTAGCTATTGAAGCCTATACTCAGCTATTTAGGAGCGTGATCTAAGAGCGTATATTACTGCTACTGAAGCAGAAGTGTTCATGAGGAAAACAAAAGATCGGTATGGTGTTGTGGTGAACGGGTTAGCATCCGGAAAAGGTAATAGCGCGTTCGTTCCTCTCCGCAAACATCCGCGGTCCGGTGTTTTGCAAACATCTCAGCATCATTGTGGTAGTATATACTTACTTACTTGGATACTTAGACGGTCCGTCTTCATGAGCTGTGCGGACCTCAGTACATATGCCATTCGTTCCTTTCTCTCGCAATCGTAGGCCATGGTGATGGTCTTGTTCGAGCATGGCAGCGGTTGCGAGTCTCATACCGTGATTTGTAAAACAACTGCAGCTGCGGGTACACCTGATTAACTTTGTTTACGAACACGTCCGCCCAACGTGTAGGTGGTCGTCCAAGAGGACGTTTGCATTCTCTTGGAGTCCACTCTACTGTTCTCTTCGTCCATCTGTCGTCGGCTCTTCTCATTATGTGACCGGCCCATCTATGTTTCGTTGTCGATGTATATTTCCTGGATCTCGAAGATGTGACAGATTTCGAAGGTCAGAGCTTCGCATTCCGGCTACATATTGAGAGTGCCGGTTATATTTCAAAAGGCATCGCTCAAGCGCTCTGTGAGTAGTGCAAAGCATTCTTGATGTAGTTGAAGTATCAACCCACGTCTCTGCAGCATAACAGAGCGCTCGAAGGACCGTAGAATCGAAAAGATGAGCGCGGATTTTCGGGTCCTTCAGTTGGTCGGTGGCTTCTTTGAGAAGCCCGAATGCGGTCCAAGTTGCTCTCCTTCTTCTGTCTAGTTCCTCGTTCATGTTGTTTTCCATGTTCATTGATCGCGCATGCTACACGTACGAGGTGGTCTCTGCTATGAGCGAGCCATCCAATTCAGTTTTTCGTCTTCGCACCATGGGCTTTTCATGAACTGGGTCTTCTTAAGTCCAATCTTTTTCCCCCTTCGTTGAGCTCGTTGAACATCATCTCTGCTTCGCTAGTACTTCTTGAGAAGATGACAATGTCATCGGTAAAACGAAGGGGTTTGATAGGAATATTCCATCAATACGTATGCCTTTCTCATCCCAATCGCGTGACTCCATTATTTACTGCAGTGCGGCACTGAACAGCTTTGGCGATATTGTGTCTGTATGTCGAACCCCTTTTCCTATGGGTATTGTAGGAGGTCGATAGAAAAGCTGCATTTTCGTAGTGCAGTTCCGATAACAGTTGGACAGAGTCCTTATGTAGGACGGCTCCACTCCTTGGTCGACGAGCGCTGATAGGATTGCACTCGTTTTGACACTGTCAAGCGCTTTCTTATAGTCGACAAAGGTTAGGGCTAGAGGCAAGTGGTATTCCCGACAAACTTCGATGACTCTCTGGACACGGTTTGGATGTGGTCCATGCAGCAAAATCCTTTTCGAAATCCTGCTTGCTCGACTGGTTGCGCCTCATCCAATGTCCTTGATATGCGCGAGAGGATAATCTTCGTGAAGAGCTTGTAGAGTACACTTAACAAGCATATGGGACGATAGTTACGAAGATCCCTTCGGTCTCCTTTCTTGGGTAGGATAACCGTGCGCGACGTCCTCCACTGGTCTGGGATTTTCTCCTTTTGAAGGTAGCCTGTCATATGATTTGCGAGAAGTACATGTAAATTGTGGCCTCCAGCTCTAAGGAAATCGGAAGCGATATTATCGGGTCGTGGAGTTGTGCTTCTTTTCATGCTTTCTATCGCAGCTCGAACTTCCAACGGAAGAATTCCAGTTAGCTTTTCTCTAGCGGGGATATTAGGGCCCTGGACGGAGATTGTGGAACGAAAATGGTTGGTGTAGAACGTTTCCGCTATTAATTCCATATCATGGCCGGAAGTTTTGACGATCCCATCTTCGTTCATCAGAGCTGAACATTATAATCACACAAGTCCCGACGGCACTTTTCCAGACTGCTTCTTTTCTCTGCTGCTTCGAGTAGTTTCTTCTGCTTGTATCGTTGTAGATCTTCCTGCAAAGCTCTTCGGCAGCTGGCATTACTGGCCATGTTAACCGCGTTGCAGTAGGATCAAGCTTCAGTTTCCTTCTCTTTTCGAGCAACTCCTTAGTAGTGATGGAGATGCGGTCCGATCTTCCTGCTTGAGGAAGTTTCAGTCCTTCGACAAGCAGCTCGTAGTCTTTGGTCGGATCTTCTTTAATCTGCCAGTCACGTTTGGATAGAACTTCGTTCAGAATGTTCTCGTCGTATACAGCTAGACTTTTTCCTCGTGGTCAATAAAGAGAGTTTCCAGCTTGTGGCTGAATCGAATCTTCGCGCGAAGAAGATGGTGATCGGAACCAGTACGGAATGACGGGACTACCGTTGTGTCAAGTAGGCACCATCTGCTGTTTGTCAGAATGTGATCGACCTCCGCATGAGTTATGCCGTTAGGAGACTCCCATGTCCAGCTGTGATTTTCCTTTCCTGTCTAAAAACGAGTTTCCATGGAACAGATGTGCTGCGGACAGCAGTCCTGCGAGACGGTTTCCCTTCTCATTTCTTTCTCCCATTCCGAAGTTTTCGATCCTATATTGACCGTTGTTGGGCGTTCCTATTCTGGCGTCGAAGTCTCCGACAACAAATTTATGGAATGCTTTATCGTTGCGGATGACTTCCTCCAACTCTTTTGATGTGACAGTTGAAGACGGAGGACGGTTATGCGAGTGGAAAGGATCACGTTTGGGTCGACGATATGGACAATGGATGGGTGGATGACAAAGCCTACGCCACCGACATTTCGTGACGGGACCTTTTCTCCGCGGATCACAAGGGTCCCGTTGTTTAGTTGGCGTATGTCAGTCTTCTTGATTTTTGTTTCTTGTAATGCGATCACATGAAATTTAATTCGATCCGCGGCTACAAGAAGGGCGTGAAGATCGGCGTCTTTGAAGAGTGTTCCGGCATTATACGTACATAGTAAGAAACAATCTCCATGACGTCTCGTGCGTGTATTTGTCAGATCCGGTTCCAATGACGTACAGTGTAGCCTAGATCCTCTGGCCTCTCACCGGTCGTCTTACCGCCTGACGTCATAGACGGGAGCACCCAGTGTGGGGTGCTGAGGCTGGTCTATTGCTGGTCGTGCAACTTGGTCCTCCCTTGAGTCCTGACGTAACCTTGCAAGGGCGTATCCAGATCCTCACCACGATTTGGATCAGAGGGAGGTGTGTTTTCGGCGACGAATCCTTCACTCGGTCTTCCTTGAGATACTGGGTGGGGTGTTAATATATAACTGTTGTTATTTCACCAATCATCAAATGTCTTTATTAAAGTTATTTGGTTTCATGCTGCGTACTGTTTATAGTGCAAAAACTAGTAAAAGTTTGCAAAAACTCGGTTGTGTGTAGAGCAACGGTAGATTTATTTGATCTGTTGTCAATCTTTACTTCTGTAGTAGTCGACCGCATTTAGTTAGCCGTAACAAGTACCTCGAAGTGAAAATGTAACCTTAGAATACGCTCTATAAAGATTTTATAAAGTTCAGAGGATGTCCGGAAGTGGATTCTGGCTATTCTTCGGAGGAGGAATGGCATTTTATCTGTTCAGTGTCTTTTCGATGTATGAACTAGAGATTTCCACTTGTTTATCGAGGCGACAAACCCACGAACAATTGCCACGTCACGAGCTTGCTACACTACAGTCATAATTTTCATTTTTACTTTGTTGGGCTTTCTCTCCGTAATGCCATCACAGGTTTTTTTTTATAGCAACTACTGCATTGTTTTTGTTGTCATACACTAATCTTTTCCAAGCAGCATAAACTATTAGACAAATTCGACTTCGTTCTTCGATACGGTTCCATTTCCTACCCTTCAGAGTTTAAGTACAACCAACACCGACAGCAAAAAGAGACAGTTCACCATATCCAGGAACATAATTCTTAGAAGTCGTGGAAAATTTAATCCACACTTTCTGTGCAGCGATCCATAGATTCTAGTGGTTTTAACGGATAGATAAAGTTCGCATTGCAGAGATAAGTATCCAAAGTTGAGAACCTGAATTGTTGTGCACATGTGCTCATAATATTGTTATTAGTGTGCCACATGTTGTGGATATCGCACTGTACCACGTCGCTTGATATGCGATACCTCTAGTATCATCCTTTTCAAAGCGGATTTGTCAATTCCGAGTTATCATGCGTCTCGCCCATATATAGCTCGAATTTGCTAAGCATAAAAGGATAAAAGGGTAAAACTCTCGGCATTCATCAATCTCTTAAGGATACGCCATGCATTCGACTTCAAAAAGCACCGTTAGAGGTGATTGAATGCATACTTGGCGTTCACAATGACTCCCGGTGGCCTACCGTTGCTTCGAGCTGCTATCCTCCCAGACACGTCTGGTACCAATTTGCCGAACTCCGAAGGATGGAAGGCCTGGTGGGCCATGGACGCGAAGATCAATCCCATATGTATTGCAGGGCGCTTCGGACCACTGCGCCACACGCTCCGTACTTTTTTCTTTTCTTCTGCTAAACACTTGCTAGAGAAATAAAGTGTAGTCGAGAAGATGGGCACCGAGTTGTTTATTCTTTGCCCTTTTCACTATATTTTTGATGGTCTTGAAGCTACTCAAACCGTTCTTCCTCCTGTATCCAGCTCCTTCGTTGGTTAGTTTCAAAATCAACTTATACATATTTAGAAAATTCAGAAATGCTCGAAATACTAATTCACATATAACGTTCTCGAGTGTGGTTGTGAGTAATTTCTATAAAGTGATATTGCTCCAATGTTTCCCATTGTTAGACACATCATTCTAAAATGTGAGATTGTCGTTGTCATTCTCCCATAAGTGCTTGAAAATTCTCTATGTATTAAATACACAACTCTTACCTATCCAGAACTTTTGTGAGTACTTCTTTCTCAAGCTATCTGAAGACCTTCAAGTTGCTAAAAGTGAGATGAGACAAAACGATCCTCACAATATTTCCGTGAGTTTCGCCACAGCATGGATGTGGTCCATCGTGGTGAGTCCTTGAAATCCTGTTTTCTGGAGTAGCTCTCTTTCGTCCAGTATTCCATTAATCTTGTTAAACATAGATCAGGCAAAGAGCTAATGAGGTGGCAAACCAAACAAAGACGATTTGATGGTAGTTGTCCATGTTCTGCATGTCTCGGTTTCTGTTCAGTAATACGGTCCTATTGGCTTCCCGTTGATTTGGAATTTAGTTTTATGACAGACAACGTTCGGAAACCTGTGGTAATATATTGGTGAAGAGTAGGGTTAAGCTCTCCACGTTAGGACGTAGTCTTGTCCAGACCGAGTGCTCCATATTTTCCCACCGACAATGCAACATGTCGGATTTCGCTGCAGATGGGTATGACTTTTGAAAATGGAGCAGAATACGTGACAGTCTTCTCCACAGATTGTCTGGAAGCAATGTCTATTCCCTTGGAATTCTAGAGCGGTTACTTTCGTTTTATAATTGGCCTAGCCACGGCTAGTCCTTTCCAACTTTTGCAGTTACAGCCACTGCTGGTTTTCTTCCCATGACCTTTTATCACTTCTCTACAGATATTTGTAAGTTCAGACTTAAGTTGGTGTTCCTCTGTGGCTCCCGACTTCTTCATATATTCCGCAGCTAAGGTGCTGCTGGGTACATTACGTTACTATGAACACTTCTATGAGAACTCGACGGTTTAAGGGCTTTTAATCCTAGTCGAGAACAAACATGACACAATCTTGCCATTTCCAAATAGGGACAACCACGTGAGTATGAAATTTCATTGTGACACATGCATTATTCCAACTTACAGTTGCAAATATACAGCAAGGTGAACGGCAATGGAAATCTGTTGAGAGAAGACAACAGCCGTGTTTCATACTGAGTAAGACTCAGTTAAGTCTGAGGTTGCTTTTTGAAACGAAAAAAAAATCACCCGTGAAAAACCACTACTGGATCCAACAACATGAATGCAGTGTCGAAAAACAATCCTCTTAGTGAACAATAAAAGTACATGAATACCATTTGCTCACAATTCAATTTCAAGAAACGATAGTGTATTCCTTCTGGTTAAGATAAGCACCGAGTTTTTTTTAGCGATCCAGAGCCATTAGGTAACGATAGCTCTCTTCTTCCGAGCGCATAACAGGTTTTGAGAAGAATCCACGATGGAACATTTTCCCAAACACACTATGACTCTAAAATATTTAGGATATCTAAAGTGATAAGGACTATTGAAAAATATCCATGACTTTAACAAAGTGGAAAATACAAAGCTTACCTGGTTTGTGCTATTATCATGACCATCAGGAGAGCCTGTTGACAGAGGATGTACTGAAGACGACCCTGAAGCGACAAAACCATCGGAACAGTGACTATCACTGGGAAGATGTGTCGCCACAACTGACGGATTCTGATGGTGATCACCCGAACTGCTCATAACAATACCCTAAAAGACGACATTTAAAAACAGAGAAGCAATTTGCAATAAATGGTCTGAACAGAAAGCTATGGGAAGAAGCAGAGCTAAAGGGAATGTTACTGTGGAGATAATGGTAACAGGTAACCAGTTTACAAGAAGTTTCGCATCAATATTTATTAGCGATATTACCAGCTTTACAACCACAACGATGCTGAGATATTTGCAAAACTTAACTGGGTTCAATGCCGATCTGTGCTCTCCAGATCTGACGGATGATTACTTATGGCAGCGTAGAAAACCAGCTGAGAGAAACTCAGGGCAAGGGCCTCCGTCGTGTGTAATGCGCGAACCCCCGGAAATGGAAATCGTGGTTCGATGTGGCCCAAGGGTCCAAGTTTTGCGAATATCTCAGCATCGTTGTGAATGTAATTCACATTATACTTTGCCGTGAAAAAGAATTATAGCAGGCAGGAAATAAAAGGTTAACATTATCAACATTCTCTAAATGAACACAGACCATTGTAAAAGAGACATTTCATAAAAGATCGACAAACGACGTTTCATGAAAAAGTGTAACAAGTAATGAATGGGCTGTAAAGTGCATGCATTGGAGCATGTGAAACACGTGTAAGCCGAAAAGGCATGATTTGATGGTATCGAAACAGAATGAGTTGCAAACAGGACGATTGCAAAAAGAAAAAGGTTAGTGAGGAAGCAACTACGTCAGAAACTTGCTTCGTTCTGATGCTCCGAAGCCTGTGATGTCAAATGAGGACCGTTCTGAGAGCAACCGGTGTCTGCAACCGCCATAAATAGTGAATCGCGAACGCCGAACTGCTGAAATATGAAGAAAGTCAGGATCACAATGCAAAAAAAGGAAACAAATCATTAGCTAGAGTTCCATCGTACAGTTACCACACATTAAACACGAGCAGGACAGATAACGGATGCAATCTTATCCCAAGAACAAATTTACGTGGTAGAAATGGAGGTGGAGAATGTTTAGTTGCAAATACTGCGACAATTCGTAGAGCAACTACTAGTACATACTTTCATTTCGGCAAAACATACTGCTATTACGTTACAGTGCTCTCATTACTATTTTTGAGGTATTCTAACAATCCGACATTCAATCTTATCACAGTCTCAAAACCAGCTGTAATGTGGCACTGTTAACATCGAACAAGTCGAAAAACTCCAGAACAGCAAAGGAGAAACACTTATCCAGTCACTAATTCTCTGCATAACATCTACTTTAAGTTCTCACTTTCGTGTTACCAAACAGGTAGAAGAGAATACATATCGAGGCCAACATTTAAATTTCCTTTGACAAAGCGTAATCGCATAGTGGCAAATCTCCCTTTGATCCACAAGGGCTGCGACTGCCTGTGGTAGTGAAGACTTTGGTCAGGGGAACCTCGGGATTCCAGGGAACCACAACGGCATAACCAACAAATCTCCGAAAAAGGAGATTATGCTGGGACCGGCACAACCAGTGAGGGCGGGCCATTCAAGTATCAAGTGTCAAGTAGGTAAGTTAACACACTGGTAACATCATTTTACGTTGCGCTTAAAATGCACCGCACCCAAAAGCTCTAAATACGACAAACATAGGACATCAACGTTCACTCACTTATTACTGAAATTTCATAACCAGTAAAAAAACTAACCTTTGAGTTTTTCCTTGTGACTTCGGCTACAACCCCGCTCCAATCAGTAGCTGAACTCGATTTACGCAGGGGCGTCGACTGGAAAGACCTAAGAACAAATTTCATTACTGGTTATGATTGTAACCATTTAACACCACATAACAGTTGTTAAATCCGCTAAAATCAGAGGAACGAGCAACGAATTCCAGAAAACAGTCGTATATACGACAAAAAGTGTCAGATGAATTCGTCCACTCATTCATTTTAGCTTCCTGCTGACTCGAACATCGGGAAAAAATGTGCAAAAAGACTGTTGTATGTACAGAGTACATACGGGAGTCTGTAGCACAGTCGTTAGTGGTGCTATGCAATATGCAAGCGGTTTTTGGTTCGATCCCCCACCCGAGGTCGCAAAGCCCTTTATCCCTCCTGAGTTGGTAATTTAGTACCAGACTTATCTGGAAGGATAGCAGTTCCGGTTTGAAAGGCCGGTAGGACAGCCTAAATCACTGTTTGTCAGATACGCATTCAATTACCTCTAATGATGATCGATGAAGTCGAATGCATGGTGCATCCCTCAAGGATTGATCAGCGCCGAGAGCTTTGACCTTTGCGTTTTATAGAGAAGTAGATGGGTAACAAATCTCACGAGATAAACAATGTCTCCAAGAAAAACACCAAGCAGCAGTTCCAAAAAGTACTTAGAGCAAATTACAAAGATGTGATAAGTTTGCAGGAACCTACACACAAAATACGAGGACGAATAGCTTGTGCAACAAAAGTGGGACTAAATCGAACAACTAAAATACCCTTAAGATATTAGCAGAAACAAGAATTTCATTTGATTAGGGAGAGCGATTCGCGCCGAGCCGCCTCCGCTTGCCTCTTCGAGAGAGTATCGATCGGCACGTACATACGTTGGCGGGACCCTACTCAAGCAGAGCACACGGCTGGACACATACTCGAGCAGAGCATACGGCTCGACAGGTACTCGGGCAGAGCACACGGCGATACTCTGTGCTCGTCGACGAAACGACTATGGCTGTCGAGTTCTACCGCTTCCATGTCGGCGTAAAACGTTAGGATAAACGAAAGCTGTCCACTGTATGGTAATGCTGTACATAGTGGGCCCTGCCGGGATGTGATCTACCATTTAAGCATGCGTCGAGTAGCCGGGAGAATAGATGGTGAATAAGTTAATATTTCCTTCTTGAGCAGACACGAATTCGTAGGAGGATTCATTCAGTACTTACTAACATTTCCATGGACATTCCTCACTCATGCAAGGTTCCATAAGGATGGTCTGCAATAATAACTGTAAGATTTACAACGAACAAAACGGCTATGGCGAAGGCAAAACCGCCGAATAATCAACCATCAAGTATTGAATGGATCTCCATTATTAACAAACTCATCCTGCCTGCTCAAGAAAAAACATTAGCTCATTCAACAATACCGAGCTTAACAGAAAATAGACCTGGATTCTAATAGATGGTGAATAGTTGGAATTAACATTAAGAAAGAGCTCATCTGCGGTGTGTGTATCCGTACATATCCATCTCAGGACACAACTATACAGTACAACTCCCAAGGTTTTTCGCTATATAGACGGCTGATGCCTGAATTCCATGGTCGTCAAGTACACGTTATTCAGGGAGGCTTGGGAAACTTCGACTGGAAATTGTTGACAGATACTTGCACAGCACACTTTAAAACTTTCGACAAAGCACTGGCGCCTAAGTATTACTGTTCTCAATCTTAATTAGAACTCTAAATACCTTTTAAAATTTAAGAGTTCGCTAGGCACCAGAAATTTAGCGCACTTCTATTTTTAGAGGTCATGGTCATCCACTATGTCTCCGAGCCTGTAGAATGCACACCTATTTGCAACTATTGGTTGAGCAACAATAAGCAGATCTGCCCAGAAACCATTATGTCGAACCTTTAACTATTTAACACATAAATGGCCGAATTTCCTGCTATCATTACATACTTGCACGCAATGTGAACTACGTGCATTGATTTCAATGCATTACTCACGTCTATTGTGCGTCGCCGTTCTTGTCTTTACTACATTTCCCGCACTTAATCAATGACTCACCCAGCACCGACTCTTAACCGGCCGTAGTCCACGAGCAACTAAGATCTACACTTGATAGTTAACAAAAGATCGCTTTTCAGGTGAGAATATTAGCTCGATTTAAACTCCGCGTAGGTAATAGCGAGAATGTTGTACTTGCAGGACTTTGCCGCCACAGTAAAATGGTAGACCATTGAGATAACTTGTTAACTAATCTACAACCATTCCAATTCCAAATGTTTCACGATTTATAATCCACACATACAATACACATTTTTCCTACCTACAATCTTTTAAAAATCAATGGATCTCCCTCATATGAGGGATCTCGAGCCGGTTAGTCGCGAGACTACGTGGCGCGTCCCCAGGTGGCGGATAGGGGGTTAATCGCAGACTAAAAGCGACCTATTTCTGATGCGCTGATTTGGCACACACCTTCTGTGCTTGCTAGGCGTATTCATGCATGCGTGTGTGAGTGTGTTCTTGCTTATGCGGAATGTATTCTACGAGCCAATTCGGCCAAAAAGCCTGCAATCAAGTGACTGGAAAGTATATGGGAGGCGGTTAGGAGTCGCCTCCAACAAATAAGCTCCATGTCCACTCCGGGAGAAACTGGCAAACGAGCCGTGAGTATACCCAGCCCTCACGTTCAGAGCCCTGTCAGCTATACGTGGGTATCAAAAATGCTAAACACAGTAAAAAAAAAAACGGGCCTCATTCCCTTGACCCCGAAAGAGCCCCAATTTCTCAGCGTTGGGTAGGACGAGTACGGAGAGGCTGCTAAAATCTCAGGGACAATGGAAGCTCCTGGATTTCAAAGAACTATGGTGACGATCTGTACCTACAATGCACGAGCACTTGCATCCAAATCCTAGATAGAAGACTTGCTCATGCAAGCAAGAAGGATAAAGTACGACATCATCGGCCTGGCCGAGACGAGAAGACGCCAGCCTTTCAACGCCGCCCATGACACCGGAGGAGAACTGTTCCTCGGAACATGCAACAGCAGAAGAGCCGGCGGCATCGGCGCTCTCGTCAACACGACTTTGTCCATGAACATCGATTCATTCGAACAACTTACAACCCGAATCGGACGTTTACGATTAAAAAGACGTGGATCAATACCGGGTTTGACAATCTTCGTCGTTTACGCGCCGACATCAAATTATGACGAAGAAGAAGTCGAAGCGTTCCATATGGACTTGGAAAAGTTCGGCAGAGAAGACTACACATTCTTCAAGGTCATCATTGGGAATTTCAACACCAAGATTGGACCAGGAAGAACGTCAGAAGAACGT